TTACTTGTGTGCATATTTAAAACAAATGGCAGTTAATGGCCCGCAAATTGTTGAGGAGAAGGAGGGGGTTTGTCCTCAGGATCTTGAAAATCTAGTCACTCTAGTGCTAAGGGTCTTTTGACCCTTTTTCAGGACTTCTGGGGGGAGGTCGAAATTCCTGGGACTTCTAGTGTTAACAGAATGAATCTCATTGTTTTCATGGAACTTCGTTTAAACTCACATCTGACTGCATGCAATTACAGTGTGAGATATTTGTTATCAGTCACAAGTTTGTGACTGTTGGTTTTTGTTCTAATGTCACTAATCAGTTCATGAATACTGTTACCAATCAGTTCATTTGATTAATAATCAGTTCATTTATTATAAATTGCTCACTGTTTTTCAGCCTCTCCCCTTTTTCCCGTCGAGAACTGTTCTCTCCGGGCGCCCATGTACACAGAATGCGTAAATTACACAGGGCGCATCTGTACATGGTGTGCGTAATTACGCAGTGCATATTTACGCACATGGAGGGCTGAGGGATAAACATTTTTTTTTACTACAAGCGGGCGCTTCATACGGTGTTCGAATGGACCCAGTGAGGCAAAGACTACATCCTGCTTCACCCTTAACCCACAAGCGACAGCCTTAAAGGGCGAAGTCTATATGAAATAGAACGTTGGTTACGTACTGTAACCCCAGATTCTATGAGTATAGGCGTAGTAGCCCTTTAAGCTCTGGGCCTCACTGGCTCCTAAACGGCTGAAGAAAAAAGCTATTTAGGAGCCGATTACCCGCTCTCAACGTAATTTATACGGACCGGGTGGGGCCCACACGACAGGTGGGCGTGGACTAAATTTTTCAGTGCGACACTTTGCGTGACGGGATAAAACCCACAGGCGACAGCCTTAATGGGCTATGCCTATACTCATAGAATCTGGGGTTACAGTACGTAACCGTTTTATGGCTCATGGCCATGAAATTCACAAATGAACATGAAACAATGGTGATAAATTCTGAATCCTTTGGGAATTTATTTATTTATTGATTAAATTTTCTCAAAAGCATAAACTAGACAGAGTTTGATAAAGACCGGTATAGGTCTTGAAGATAGCACAAGAAATAAAAATGTTTTCACAAACAAAAGGAATGATTACAACAGTCACTCACTGAATCCAGGTGCTACATGAGAAACAAGCAGGACTAAAGTGAAAAACAAAAATGAAGTTTTTGAAAAGTATCTCATATGACAACCAAAAGAAGTTGAGTGTAAAAAAAAAACTTTTCAAAGCTTTTCAAAGACAATAGAAAACTTGAAACATCCAGAGAGCTTCTTTAATATCCTTAGTTTTCACAAGAGTTTTTCAGAAACTTACACAGAAAACAGTCATTTTTACATTCCATCTTTCAGGAGTGGGGTAAGTTCTTCATGTGAATGTTTTTATTGAAAATGATAGAAAACTCTGTAGAAAGTAGTTGGTGCAGACCGATACCGTCATGAGTATACACCCAGCGTTCACCGGTCCAGTCGTACCGCTTTGGTCCACTGCAAACACAAGAGGAGGATAGAGTCAGAGTTAGAGATTCTTTATTGTCGTTCCACCACGTGGTGCATGTGGTGGAGTGAAATTATGTACACATGGTCCCAGTTACATCCAACAATAAAATGTAAAAAAAAACAATAATAAAATCAAAGATATGAACTAAGAAAAACATCAACTAACACTAAGCACTAATAGCATACAACATTATGTCGAGCATCAGCACAAACATGAGCATGAGTCTGTGTGAGCAGATGAGCACGCATGAACACAACATGAAACACATGAGCAGCAACATGAAACAGATCAGCAGCAACATGATGTGATTTTTTCACAGTGATTATTCTGGTTATAGATTCATGGGTCTAGCAGCCTCAGGGTAGAAGCTGTTCCTCAGTCTAGTGGTTCTACACTTAATGCTCCTCAACCTCCTTCCTGAGGGGAGCGGGGCAAAAAGTGTGTGTAATGGGTGAGTGGGGTCCTTCATGATGCAGGTGGCTCTCTTCCTGCATCTGGAGGTGTAAATGTCTGTAATGGTGGGGAGGCTGACTCCAACATCTTCTGTGCAGCCTTCACCACTCTGCAAAGCTTTTCGTTCTGCAGCTGTGCAGCCTCCATGCCACACGTTGATGCTGGAGCACAGGATGCTCTCCACTGCACACCTGTAGAAGGAGGTGAGGACTGAGCTTCCAGACCAGCTCGTCTCAGCCGTCTCAGGAAGTAGAGTCTCTGATGAGCTTTCTTGATCAGGCTGGTGGTGTTGTTGCTCCAGCTGAGGTTGTCATTCATGTGTACACCCAAGTACTTGTAGCTGGAGACCACTTCCACCGCAGATCCTCTTATGTTCAGAGGGGTGTAGGTGTGTTTGTTCCTTCTGAAGTCCACAATTATCTCCTTTGTCTTCTTCACATTGATGTGAAGGTTATTCTCTTTGCAGCAGCTCTCCAGGTGTTCCACCTCCTGCCTGTAGCTGGGCTCATCATTGTTTGTGATGCATCCCACCATCACTGTATCATCTGCAAACTTTACAATATGACAGCCTGGATGGGTAGCTGCACAATCATATGTGAGCAGAGTAAACAGGAGGGGCTCAACACACATCCTTGAGGAGACCCAGTGCTGAGGGTTATGGATGAGGAGGAGAAGTTGTGGATCCTCACTAACCGTGGTCTGTTTGTTAAGAAGTCTAGTACCCAGTTGCAAATGGAAGGGCTTAGTCCTAGTGTGAATAGTTTGTCCATCAGGGGTTGGGGGATCATGGTGTTGAAGGTCAGATGTGAAGTCCAATTCAGTTTTCAGTTTATTTATATAGCGCCAAATCACAACAAAGTTGTCTCAGGGCACTTTACAGGAACAGTCACATACATAAAAGCCAATTAGTAAAGTTCTCTATCTAAGGAATCCAGCAGACAAGTTGAATCTTGGCTTTGTTGCAGTCTCCCATCTTGAGCAAGCACAGTGGCAACAGTGGAAAGGAAAAATTCCCTTTTAAAAGGAAGAAACCTCCAGCAGAACGAGGCTCAGGACAAGCAGCCATCTGCTTTGACCGGCTGGTTTGAGAGGACAGGAAAGAGAGACAGACGAAGTCCGCAAAGAGCATACGGACGTAAGAGTCTTTCTGCTCCAGGTGGTTGAGCACAGTGTGGACCACAGAGGAGATGGCATCCTCTGTTAATCAGTTCTCATAAGTATGCGGTATGCGTACTGATGAGGGTCCTCGTTGATGGTTGTTTTGATGTGGGTCATGACCAGTTTTTTTAAGCATTTAGCGACTATCGGGGTGAGGGCCACTGGCCGATATTCACACCAGTCACTGTAGAGCTTTTTGGGACTGGGATGATGGTGGCAGTCTTCAGGCAGGTGGGAACTGTCTCCAGGGTAAGTGAGGTGTTAAATATGTCTGCCAGCACCTCGCAGAGCTGCTCGGCACATTCTTTCAACAATTTCCCGGGCATGTTGTCTGGGCCGGTTGCCTTGTGCGGATTAATCCAACTTAAGGTACTCCTTACTTGGGCTGAGGTCACGCTGAGATGCTCTTCATCCGGTGGTGAGGTAAGTCTGGTGCTGTGTGGTCTGTTCGGGTCTTCAAAGCGTGCATAGAACTTGTTGAGGGCATCAGGCAGAGCTGGGTCTTTGGGGCATTGTTCGCTCCTTCCTTTATAATCTATTATGCACTTAATGCCCCTCCACATGCTCCGAGGGTCTTGTGAAGTGAACTGACCCTCGATCCTCTATGCATATGTGGCCTTGGCCTTCTTAATACCAGTAACCAGCTCTTTCCTTGTCCTTCTCAGCTCCTGTGAGTTTCTAGACCTGAAGGCAATGTTCCTGGCTTCCAGCAGGGTGTGCATCTCTGCATTCAGCCAAGGATTTCTATTCGGGTAACTTTTAACATATCTGATGGTGGAGATGGTGTCAGTACATGTACTAATGTAACCCAGAACTGAGGATGCGTATTGGTCCAAATCAAGTAATCCTCCATTTTCATCAGCTTCCCTGAAAACTTGCCCGCCTGTTCGTTCATAACAATCTCTCAGTATGGGGCCAGTGTCCTGGATCCAAGATTTAACTTCCCTTTGAACCGGTCTGGAGCGTCTCAGCGGGGGAAGGTAAGCAGGGGCCAAGAAGACTGAGATGTGATCAGAGAATCCTAGGTGGGGGCGGGGTTCAGCTTTGTATGTATCTTTTACATTTGTGTAAACATGGTCCAGCGTGTTGTTTCCACATATTGGTATGCCTACATGCTGGTAAAAACTTGGGAGGCAGTCCTTTAGATTCACGTGATTAAAGTCCCCAGCTACCTGCAAAGAGCCTCAGGGTGTTTGTTCTGCAGCGAGCTGAGGAGATCATGGAGCTCCAGCAGAGCGTCATTAGCATTAGCATCCGGAGGAATGTAAACAACGGTAATGAAAGTCTATGAACTCGCGGGGTAGATAATGTGGTCGACATCTCACTATTATATGCTCCAAAGCCTTTGAGCATGAGTTTTTTTACAACAGTACAGTTTGTGCACCAACTTTTATTCACGGAAATGCATACTCCACCTCCCCGTGATTTCCCGGTTAGCTCACTACAGTGGTCCGCTCAAAAAAAGAATCTGTCATCCAGCTGGAAGACTGCATCCGGCGTTTCACTTGTAATCCATTTTTCTGTGAGGCAAAGCACGGCACACTTCATCATCTCTTCTGAGGCGCCCGCTCTCAGCCGAAGCAAATCCATCTTGTTTTCTAACGAGTGGGCGTTTGATAGAAAGAGAGACAGTATCGGGAGTTTTCCAGCTTTAGCGTTAGCACGTAGTCTCACCAGAACCCCCGCCCGGCGTCCTCTTTTTTTAAGCCAGGAGCAGCGCTTTGTCTTCTGCCTGTTGGAACGCCTCTGCCGCACCTTCCAGGTAGATGACTATAAGATCTGCATTCTGCCGAGTGTAGTATAGAATCATATATAGATAAT